GGGTCATAAGAGTATGGCCTAGGAGGGGAGGAGGAGAGGCTGACTGAAACACTCTTCTTACCCATTGGGGACACGTGTGGGATTAACCTTCAGAGAGATGTTTGGGGACTTGAGGTTGAGAGAGAGGCAGCTTCTATCAATGTCCAATGTCTCCATTTTGCCCCTATGGTCAGAGTTGAGCTGCTGTCGGACTTCCTGCAGGAGGCTGGGGAAGGAACAGTCTCGATCAGGACCCATCCCTCCAAGGCCCCAGGATGCAGCCCCCATTGTACTGAAGGGACGCTGAGGGATGAGGAGGCTGGGGTGATAGCGGAGCTGCTGCTGCAGCTGAGACAAAGACCAGCACAGCTGGAGGAGCTCCCCACAGACAAAATTATGACACCCAAGTGCTTGTACACACCCACAGGGCCACATGTATGTAGCTACACTCACAAGGCTCACATACACACTCACAATAAGGTACAGTCAGGGGTGGTGGCAAATGGGCTTCATTTCTCATGCTCCAACCTATTAACAATGGCTGCCTAGAGCAGGGTCATGAGAAGTATTCTGAGACCACGTCCAGGCGGTGGAAAAAGTGCTACAATCAGTTTGTGGTTTCTGCCAATGGGTACAACAAGGGCAGAAGGCAGCCTGAGAGCCAGTTATCCACAGTACATGTGTTCACCATTTCAGACACAGTCCTCGTGCAGGTGAACATGTGAATGACACAGCTCGCCCTTACCAGAGCTTCTCAAAGGCCTGGCTAATCTTCTGTTGCAAGGCCTTCTTGGTGGCGTCAATGACCTCCACCTCTTTGTGCAGCTCATCTTCCACAGGGTCCTTCACCACATCAATGTCACGCCGACTGTCCCGCAGGGTCAGGCACTCGATTGCCACATCCAGAGGCAGGTTCTTGGCCTGCAGGTTTTGCTCTGCTGACTCTTTCATCTAGAAAAGAGAGGGCACAGGAGGCTGGTGAGGCCATCCACTGGGAAGCAGCTCTCCTCCTCACTTTAGTAGAGGGGCCAGCGAGTGACTCAGATGGACATGCCACCAAATACCCCCATCAAGGGTTTCCCAACCCCAAAGTGGGGATGGAGGGGGGGTTCCTTGCAGCAGGGTCTCCTGGCACCCTGCGCTGGCTGCCTGCCTGTGTCAGGGCGTCAATCTCAGCATCTAAATCCGTCAGATACTTGTCCAGCATCTCTTTCCATCGGTTGACAGTATCAATCCTCTCTGCCAGTCGAGTCCTATTGTCATGTTCATCCCAAATGGTCTGGAAGAGACAGAGCTAGATAAAGAGGCTGTCGGAGTTGGGGGATATCCCTTTGCACACCCAACTGGGCTCCCGCTTCCAACCTGGTTGTTGGTCTCATTTCGGAGGACCCGGGCCTCCTGGCGGATCTGGTGTGAAGCATCTCGCTGCAGCTCGGCATTGGTGGACAACAGGTAGCTGTTGGTATGCCAGTCTGGCAACCGGAAACGTTGACTGGGCTTGACGCTCAGCGTAGCCATGGTGCAGGGGGCAGGGGCCCAAGGGGCCGAACCCCCTAGGCCTGTTCCAATACACCCACCTCTGCCAGAGAGGGAAAACAAGGCTGCAGGAGAATGTTCAGGAGATCCTCTCCTAGATCAAAAGACCCCTCCAAGGGACCTCCTCCTGTCCATTTTGCTGCAGACCCCTTCCTGCAAGAAGCCTGCTAAGGAACAGCCCTCTCTTTACTCAACTTTGTGTGAGGCATTAACTGAGTTTCCTCCCACCTGTCTGTCCACAGACACTAACTCCTGGACCCTGCAGATCCTGGAGCAGGTGAAACAGGATAATGGAGTCACTTGGCGGGTGTGTGCGTGTGCATGTGTGTGTGTGTGTGTGTGTGTGTGTGTGTGTATGCAGTGCCAAGTGCTTAGTGGGGCTGGTGAAGGGGGAGTTAGCAGGAAAAATAGCCTTTAATCTCGTTTCCACCCCTACTTCCAGCAACCAAATCTTGTGGAGCGTTCTTTTCTTTCTCTGCGCCAGCTTTGGGACAGGACCCGTGGGGAGCCTAAGAGAAGGAGCCCTGTTCCCTGTTCCCCATCCAGATAGGACGGGCTAGTGTTGCAGGGGATACGGGTTGCACTAGGGAGTGGGGGTGGAGGCGCTGGCCCTTTCCCCGTCTGGCTGTCACACTCTCTCCCTCCGCCTTCTGTTGGAGGAGGAGGAGCTGGGGTCCGTCTAGTTCCCAGCCGAACTCCTCCCCTCCCTTCCCCAGGATAATCATCTTTGGTTTAAATAATACCCCAGCGCTGGCGCGAAGAAGGGAGAGGGAGGGGGGAAGGGAAGGAGCTGGGCCCTGGGTGTGAGCCCCCCAGCGCCCCCGCTCCCCTCGTCCTCTCACCTCCTTCCCAGCTCGCACTTCCGCCTCCCCTCGCCCGCTGCTCTGTTAGCGCCCCGGTTGCTAGGCACCCGGCGCCGTCTTGTTTAGCTTGGCAACCGCGGGCCGGCGCGGCGGCGGCGGGCAGAGAGGCCTTCGGGGTGGGAAAGAGGCGGCTGCGGGGCTGGGGCTGCGGAGGGGGCGTGAGGAGGAGGGCCTCAGGATGCCGCGTTCACTTCATTTACAAGTTAAACATTTTTATTTTGATAAAAGTTATGCATCGACATGGTAAAAAATAGTACAGTACATAGAAAAAGTCATCTCCCGCTCAGGCTCACTCCTCAGCAGGTATCCTTCCAGAACTGTATATATATTTAACCTTATTTACACACGTTCTTTTGATCCTGTCTTGCCCAACAAATTCATCCATCTGCTTGTCGGCATAGAAGAAATGATAATCGTATTTGGAGAAGGCACATCCGTGCGAGAGGTAACTGGGGTATGAGAAGCAATGCTAAAAATCCAACCATTTCTTTAAAAAAGAGAAGGAAAAATAATTCAACCGTGCCAGTACTATTCTAGGCCTTGGGAGATGTTAACATTTAATGTTCATAATTAATAGGTGAGGCAGGCATTATCCCCATTTTCGCAGGCAACTAAAGAGACGGACGTCGCTAACAGGCAGGATTGGAAACTCAGGTGTGTCCGATCCCCAGATACACGTTTTCTCCGTTATGACTCCACACTGCCTCTAGTGGTGGCGCTGGAAATCGAGAGGAAGGCAGGGACGCTATCCCCAACACTCCCGCCTGGTTGTCTTCTGCAGAAGGGTCTTAGGAGGTGGGTGCTATTACCGTGTTCATCTTGCAGGCGAGGAAACTGAGGCACAGAGACATGAGGAACGAGCCCAGGGTCGCATAACTAAGTGCTCTACAGCTGGATCCAAACCCAGGAGGTCTGCCACAGAGGCCAAGCTCGGGTTTGATGGTCGAGGGAAAGAGAGGAGTCCAAAAAGAGTCCTCAGTTTTAAAACCTCAGTGATTGGTGGGATGGTATAATCCTTCACAGAGGGAAGAGAGGCAGAGAGCCAAGAGCTTGGTAGATAAGGGAGGATGAGGCTGGGTTTTGAGAAGTTTGAGTGATGGAGGTGTAGCCAGGTGCTGTCCAGTAGGTGGTTAGAAATGCGAGTCTGGAGCTTTGCAGAAAGACTGAAGCTAGAACATTTCCCAAACTTCCTTGTCCACAGAATATATTTTTTTCCCCGCAGAATATTTTATAAACTCTAATATATGGCTTGTAAACCAGACATGCATGGGAATTGGTGATATAGCTCTTACTAGGATTAAAGAAGACAAAAAAAGTTCTTGGACAAATTAATTGCTGGAAGAAATTATCAAATTTTGGCTGTAAAGTGTTTGGAAACATTTTATAACAGAAAGAAGTAAACAAATGTGGCCAAATGGTGGTGGCTTTGGCGAATGTCTCTGATTGTGGTGGTGGCCTTGGTGTTCATGACTCATGAGGTTCCCGAACATCCTGGCCTAGGGAAGAGAATATTAGCAGAAAAGGTCAGACAGCTGATGGATTGGACCAAGAAAAACAGAATGATAAGAATGAGTGATGCCGTATTCTATCATTTTGTACTAGAAACACCAAGAAACTACTCTATTATTGTGATGTTTACTACTTTCCAGAAGTTTAGATCATGTGTAATATGCAAACATGCTGCTGAAGAATTTCAGATCTTGGCAAATTCCTGGCAACATTCCAGTGCATTCACCAACAAGGTATTTTTTGCTATGGTGGATTATGACAAAAGCCCTGAGGCCTTTCAAGCGCTCCAGTTGATGTCAGTTCCAAGTTTCCTCCACTTTTCTGCTAAGAGGAATTTTACATCAGATGACATTTATCATTTGGAAGAAAGGGGTATCATAGCTGAGCAAATGGCCAAATGGGTAGCTGAGAGAACTGAGATAAGGAAGGTCAACAGAATCAGACAGCCTACAGAGTATCATGAGCACTTCAAGTTGAGGATATTTTTGGCTGTCATTGGTAGACATGTGTATTTACTGATATGGAATAGGAAATTTATTTTTAACAAAAATTTGTGGGCAGTTTTAGTTCTGTGTTTTGTGATCATGATGACATCTGGTCAAATGTGGACTCGTATAAAAAGAGCACCATATGCTCAAAGGAATTCTCACACAGGACGTATACATTATATCCATGGAGTAAGTTACTCTCAGTTTGTAGCAGAAATGCATGTTATTTCTCTGTTTAATATGTGCATTTTCTTGGGAATGATGCTCTTAGATAAAGCTGCCACATCTCGTGTGAACATTATAGAGAGGAAGATGATGGGCATGACTGGCACGTGTCTAGTTGTAATATTCTTCAGTTGGCTGAGCTCCCTCTTCAGAGTTAAAGAATGTGAGTATCCCTTCAGCATTCTCATGGATTCAAAAGAATCCTAGAGATACCAACAATGAAGCAAGAAATTGTTAAAAATGTGAAATAAAAATGTGAAACAGAAGAATGTTGAACTCATAACTTTTTAGGTGATTGAGATTTAGCCAAAGGAGACGTGAGGTGCCTTGGCAATAATAAGCCATTTTCTCTCAAAATCTGTGAAGTCTTATGGTATGTATGTTCTCTGTTCTTCTCAATTTTTTCCTTCCAGTAAATGTCATAGATTACCTAATTTAATGAATTCCAAAGATTAAAATCATCAGAGAGTACAAGTTTTATCGAATTAGAACAATGTTTAAAAGTAGTTAATCCTTGGCCAGCTGATCTTATTCTCCTATGAAAAATAATATCTTGGTAAGGTATCCCCACATTTAGCTACTGAAGATGACTGTGTTACCTTTCCTGGAGGTCTGTATTTGTACAGCATGCTTTGTGTGTTGTCCTCTGAAGCCTAAGCATCTTTCTGTAGAGTACACTTCCAATGCCTAGAGGCAAATATAGTACTACTCAGTACTCCATCTCCCAAGTCTGCCCTACTGGAATACACTGCTGTGCTGCTGCTGCTGCTGCTTTTTTTTTGTGAGGAAGATCAGCCCTGAGCTAACATCCATGCTAATCCTCCTCGTTTTTTTTTTCCCCAAAGCCCCAGTAGATAGTTGTGTGTCATAGCTGCACAGCCTTCCAGCTGCTGTATGTGGGACGCGGCCTCAGCATGGCCGGAGAAGCGGTGCGTCGGTGCACGCCCAGATCTGAACCCCGGGCCGCCAGCAGCTGAGGGCGCGCACTTAACCGCTAAGCCACCGGGCCGGCCCCACTACTGTGTTTCTTGATTGTTGTGCGTATTACAAACTAATTGAATACTGGATTATAATTTCTCCAAGACTGTTAACCACCTTTTATCTGGAAAGATTTCAGATAAATTATCTTTCCTTATTTTTCTTTCAAGTGGCCAATCTCTAACAAAATAGGAGTTCCTATTTTGGTGTTGACTTGAGGTTGTTTTCTATTTAATTTAAACCTAAGAGATATCACACAGAGACAACTCAGAAGATGAATGATAATTTCATTCACCCTTTTCTGCTAAAATATCAAGTTATTTCCAATGTACAGAAATGCAAAGCTGAACACCTTAAAAGCTGTTCAATTTCAGCCTTTCTTCCCTCTGAAGTGAAAAAGCAAACTATAGATTTGAAGATTTTTTTTCCCTTTATCTTCTTTCTGTCATGTGGATAATCAAAGTTAAATCCTAAACACTTTACTAACATGCCTGGCAAAGATTTAAGTTGCAGTTTACTATTAAATCAAACTGTGGCCTTCCCTCTGGAAATTGCTATTTTAGAAATGTGAGAACCGTGATTGTGAAAATGTTTTTCAAGCAACAATTTAGTGCCACATTAGAAGATTTCTGCTTTCAGTTGGGACTGGCTTTGGCAAGTAACTGTCCTCCAAGGTATAGTGGAAGATTTTGAGGTTTCATATAAGAGTCATTTGCCAAGGGAGTTGCGTATAATTGCCCCAGAGTAAATTACATTTTTTTTTTAAACATGGAGTGGTTGGGAATAGTTGACCTCTCTCACTTTAATTTAGACATTTTTTGTACATTACCCCAGAGGAAACTGCTCAACTCTGGCCTTTTTTCCGGCTTACTTTTCTGCTGGTCTTGCACTTTTCTCAGGCCAGATAACTTCACGTTGAGATCCTCGAGGCTGAGACTTAGGGGAGGCTGAGTAGTTTGCACGGCACATTAGTCAGGGAGAGGTAACTGCTGCTTTAACTACACAGCGGCAGATCATTTTAACTGCACAGGAGGCTGAAACAATTTTTTTCCCAACTTGATTTGCCCTTCTTATCTTCAAAGCCCACTGATCTTGCATAAGAAGGAAAAGCCTCTCAGTTAAAATGAATGGAAAGTAGCTTTTCTGCATTCAAAGCAAAGTGTGATACTTTTGTGCAGATTTTCAAATTAATATCTAAAGGGCCTTCATGTAGACAATAGTAGCACTTTTTAATTACAGGTTTAGATAGCACCTCTTAATAAAAAAAAACCCTTCTAGTCAAAGAGATACCACAGATGGCAAACTTTTATAATCTAAAATCTTTGTTAAAGTACAAAAATAAATTAGAAGAATTAAACTCACAAAACAAAATATAAAAAGAGGGTTAAACAACCTTAATTTTGCATTTGCATAAAATACAAGTGAAAACCATCTGAATGATGGTGGTGACTGAAATCCTGCTGGTCCAACATCAAAACTATTCCTATGTTCCAGTTTTGGTTTTTGTAACATAATGTGTAAATTCCATTTAGCAAGATATGTTCTAGTAAAGAGTAATGTTGTACATTTAGCAGTGTCAAGTACTTTTGAATTGGGCTACTTCTTCTTTTTTTTTTTTTTGTGAGGAAGATCAGCCCTGAGCTAACATCCATGCTAATCCTCCTCTTTTTGCTGAGGAAGACCGGCTCTGAGCTAACGTCTATTGCCAATCCTCCTCCTTTTTTCCCCTAAAGCCCCAGTAGATAGTTGTATGTCATAGCTGCACATCCTTCTAGTTACTGTATGTGGGACGCGGCCTCAGCATGGCCGGAGAAGTGGTGAGTCGGTGCGCGCCCAGGATCCGAACCCGGGCCGCCAGCAGCGGAGCGCGCGCACTTAACTGCTAAGCCACGGGGCCGGCCCTGGGCTACTTCTAAAATCACTTAGCAAAAAAGTCTGTTAACGTTTTGTTTCAGCTGAGAATCAGACATCGTATTAGGCTTCATAATCCTAAGTCACTAATGTGTCTGTTTTGTTTATAATTATAAATTTTGAACCCAAGTATTAGTTATAAAAAATATTTTAATAGAGAAAAGCATGAGAAAAGTGTTGCTCTATAAAGGCATTGCAAAGATTTTTATAGACTGCGGAAATTGTAGTGGTAACAAAAGTGACAGGAGAAGAATCATCTTTCTTCTGCTACCGCACCAGGTCCATTTTTGCCCGCCGCCCAGAAAGCCAATCACCGAGACGACGAGATTGCAGAGAGAGAGGGGGTTTAATCACAAGGCAACCAAGTGAGGAAAACAGGAGAACAAGTCTCAAATCCGCCTCCCGGAAAATAGGGACTCAGGGGTATTTATGGGGAGGGGAGCAAGGTGGTCTGAAATGATTGGAGCTGAGGAGAGATGAGGTAGTTGATGATCTGCGCAAGCGTAGTCAGGCTTCACGCTTCTTCGTAGGACACATCTTCACAGAATGGCGGCATTAGCATGCCCTGAGGGGGGAGTTCCAACCTCTTGCCGTCAAAAGGGCCCAGTTGATGGATTAGTGGTCTCAGTCTGGCCTGAAGTGGACAAAGGGCTCAGTTCCTGAAAAAAAGAGCTCAAACACCCATTACCATGGTGACCCAGGCTCCAGGGAGATGTCATCTATAGGAACCTAGTGGGAGTCAGAGAGCATGTTGTCCAAACAGCACAGTTAACAACGAGTAAGTTTATCATGTAGACTTAAGTCCTCGCCTTCCATTCTGATAAGTTTCTCGGTAAGGCCATCCCCCTTCTTCCTGGTGCAGGGAAGAAGATATCTTTACAAATGGAGATTTTCTTTATAAATGTAAATGTCTCTCATAAAGGGTAACTAGAACTAAGAATGGGCTTAGCATGACCCACCCAGGTACCTGGAGATGTCTATAGTAATGGCCTTTTCTGGGGGCAGGCCTCCCATCCCAAACTCCTTAGGTCAGTTAGTGGGGGTGGGGGTCAAAATGTCATTCAGGCAGAGACATATTTTGAGTTCACAAATTCCAGTCCCCCATAGTTACTAGCTGTTTAATCATCAATGGCTGTTTGCTGGTTTCACTTCTACAGATGAAACTCAAGATTTCAGTCTCCTTTATGATAAAAACATTTCATTGAATATTGTAAAAATGATCACATCCTTTCCTGGCATTGGCAGCTTAACCTAATTAAATTCCCAAAAGCATCTGCAAAGTATGCAAGTCTCAGCAGCCAAGAGGAATTTGTCAAATGATCAGACATTGAAACATGGAAACCATGAAAACTTATACTTCAAGATGTATGTCCCCCTTCCAAAACAAACAAAACACCTGAGAATTTCTTAGACTGCCACCTCATTTCTGTATGCTTAAGGGTAGTGTTCTGAGCACTCTTTTCTATGAAGGAAATTTCAAGCAGTTGAGCTCTAATATAATCGGCAATTTGTTCTGTGCAGTCTAGCACGTCTTATTATCAGAGCAACAGGCTAACTAGTCTGCCTAGATAACTTGGTGCTTTTCTGGTACCACTGTTATCTGCCCTACAGCCTCTGATTTTTCAGAGCATGGCCTTAGTGTCACTGTTACACATATTTCCCCCATTTAATGGTATGAATTTGGGTATAATTATTGATGTTTTTTGAATTTTTCTATACCAGTGTAAGTTACTGGGCAGACTGACATTAGAGTCAATTTGTCAAATTTATCAACTGGCACATATTGTATAAGTCTAAAAAAAAAACCAACGGGGGCCAGCCTAGTGGTGTAGTGGTTAAGTTCGCATGCTCTGCTTCGGCTGCCTGGGGTTCGTGGGTTTGGATCCCGGGTACGGACCTACACTGCTCCCAAGCCATGCTGCAGCGGTGTCCCACATACAAAATAGAGGAAGATTGGCCCAGATGTTAGCTCAAGGACAATCTTCCTCAAGCAAAAAGAAGAAGATTGGCAACAGGTTAGCTCAGGCCAATCTTCCTCACGCACACACAAAACCACCCATCAGTATTTGTTCATAAGCTAACTAGTACTTCTTTAGCATAACAAGAACCTTGAAGAACACCAATTATACTGTTAGGGGTTGTACAGGGTCTGGGCACATGTAGCTGGGAGAAGACTGGGATGGGGTATATGTAATAGCAAGAAGGGATTAGACTTAATTCTATGATGTTCTGGAGAACATAAATAGGGTAAATGGAAATTATGAAGGGACATGTTTTTAATATTTAGGCTGGACTGCTTCAAAGCAGTGAGTTACCCCCAGGTAAGAAGCATGTCCTCCAAGGAATTCCTGTATTGGTTGGAGGCCTCACCTCACACTAGGGTTCCTTTGAGTCCAGTGATGGCAAAGAACAAGTGCCTGCACAAGCTGGGCAAAGAGTGCTGGGGGCTGTGGTGAGAGTCTGTCCCGCTCAAAGGGGGTGACCACCACTGAGCTTCCCCTGATGGCAGCCGTGAAGGAATACTGAAAGGGATACCACGAAGTTGCTGAATCTCCTCACTTTTCAAGGGAAGACAAAATCTGGATTTTTATGGGAGATCTTCTGATTTTTTAAATGTTAGCAACTTATTTTTTTTAAAAAGATTTTATTTATTTATTTTTTCCCCCCAAAGCCCCAGTAGATAGCTGTACGTCATAGTTGCACATCCTTCTAGTTGCTGTACGTGGGATGCCGCCTCAGCATGGCCGGAGAAGCAGTGTGTTGATGCGCGCCGGGATCCGAACCCGGGCCGCCAGCAGTGGAGCGCGCGCACTTAACCTCTAAGCCACGGGGCCGGCCCAGCAACTTATTTTAAACACCAAACAAAAATTATCCGCAGGCTGAAATTGGCTTGCCAACTCGAGACCTCTCATTTTAGTCCAAAAACTTCTACTTTTATAGCAGAAGAGAAGTGATATACCTGAAGTTATACAGTTGTGACAGTTAACCAGTTGAGAGCTGGTTTCCAAAGTTTTAGTCCAGTGTTTTCTTGTCTATCATACCTGGGCTGTGTATGCACTCCTGGGCCTGTGAAGATTCCCCCAGTTCATTTCAGCTTCTTTTTTTCCTACCTGTTCTACAATTCTTTCACTGGCTAGCAGAGTTTCTAAGCCTGGCTTCTTGCCTTCCCCTCTTTCCACTCCACCCAATGTCTTTTATTTAAGGGAAAATGTAGGTGGGGGGAAGAACCTCTTTAAAACCTGAGCTCCATGCACATGCCCAGCATTATTAGGTACTTTCCACATATTATCTCATTTAATGTCCCAACAGCCCTACTATCATCTTATAGCGGAGGAACCTGAGACTTAGAAGCATCCAGGAACTTGTCCAGAGTGTCATGCAATCCAGGTTTGAACCCAGGACTTCACGACTCTTAAGGCCTAAATTCTTTCTTTCCACTGTATCACACTGGCTCCCTTTACCTAAGCCTGCAGAGCTATAATGATGACCACACAACAGAAAGTTTGGAGCAAAGCTTTTCTTTTTATTGCAGTCATTAGTGAAAGTTAACACTTCAAACTGAAGCTAAGCAACACTAAAACCATTACTTTTTTTTTAAACCAAGGATTGAAAACAAATACAACATAGAACCCTTCCAATATGCAGAATGGCAGAAAAAAGTGGTTCTGTCACAAGACATTTTAGTGACAGTTTGGCTCAGAAAGAATTATGACCTCTTTAACATAAAATATTATAAGTGATTGACCTGCTTAAAAAGCGGCTTGTTCAAGCATCTCAATCGCAACCTTAAGTTTTCTGTAGTAATTTTTGGGGGGAAGATAATTTAACTGAAAGTAGAAAACTTACTACCAAACTTTAAATACCGAAAAAAAGCACTTTTGTTTAAAAACTTTATTTGCCTCTGCTCATCATAATTACATAATCTTCAAGGAATTAAAATGACAACCAAATCCAAAGCCTGGCCCCCAAGTACACAGTGATAGGATTCAGCATTTGGTGTTTCTAATTATACAGTGATTACATATATATCACAGACTTGCTCCCACCCCCACCATATAAAGTTCCAATTTCCTCTTAATAAAATGTGGCAGTCAAGTTTAGTGTCCTTCAAGATCTTATCTGGTCCTATGGCATATTACAAACTCAGACTCATTCCATTGTTTTAACTGATGTTACTGTGTAACCAAACATTAACAAAGGAACGCTTATATTTTTATAGATAAACATTTTGAAATTCTGCAGTCCTCCTTAAATTACTACAGTAAATGGTTCTTACTTATGAAAAGCCAACAAAAAATATAAGGCCAGGTCAGTTTTAAGAAAGGTAGGGAAGATGAGGAAGGAGGTTTGAGAGTCTATCATTTTACCACGCTGAAACTTGGTATCAGTAGAAATATTTGGCAAGAATAGTTGGTGTGGAAAACGAGGATGGAGAAAGAGGTTACTCGGATTTTATTTGTAATAATTCAGTTTCAAAACATACTGATATTAACCCCCAAAAATAGTTCACATCTGCAATACAAATAGGCACACACGGTCAAGATGGTTGAAAAGTAAAATTTAAAAGGCTATTTGCCCATCTGCAAGACATTTGCAGGTGGCCCCACCCTCCCCACATGTCCTCTATTTACATTTTACTGTTCAGAAAAGCCCCTTTAAAAAGAGTGCTGTTTCCTCCTCCATTACTTAGGGTTAAAAAAAAAGCAGCAATTATCTAAAGTGGGAGCAGTTAGCAACGCTTCAGGGGTGTGCATTTGGGTGTAATATAAATGTTCTTTAGAGTGAGTGGTCAGATTACACTGGAATGGCTATATTACAATTTTAGTCCCTAAAACACTAAAGAAACACATTATTTTTTTCTGTATCAACTTGGGTAATACACACAGTGTTAGAAACATAGAATCTTTATACACACACACCCACACACACCACTGCTTCCCACAGCCTATGAATGCATCCATATACTAGTCCACAAGAATGATCTTTATTCACAAGATACAGTAATACTTTTGTGGGTCCATAACTCAAGAGAGACATTAAAGCTACACATTACAGCAAAAATTATTTAAAAGTATTCCTGATATATCAATGTTCTTAGCTATCTCACTCAGCAAGGTGGATTTTTTGTTCATTTTCCAAGCATGAATCTCTCCAACTTTTCACTTTCACTGAGTATTTGCAATTCTCATTAGCCTATAAAACTAAGACAGATACCGCTATGTTGGTGATGAGGTGGAAAAGCCCAACTGCCTGCAGCGAGGGGAGCTCAGCATCTACAAAGAGGAAAAATGAACGCTGAATGCATCCACACCCTGTGTACCTAAAATACATCCTTTTTTCTTAAAAAGACAAAACCCCAAAACAAAAAACCAAATTTGTCTGCTGCAACAATGCATCGCTTACACAACCTGTGGTGATGTGCCCTTTGCTATTTCCTAGAAACGGGAGCGCCTTCCCCCCATAGAAATGGGTCAGCCTGTCAAAATGTAAGGTTCTGCCCATGATCCATAAAGATAACTGGGTCAGACACCAACAGGCTTCCTGATATCACCTGTACATGCTCAGAATTGAATTAAAATGAAAAAAACCTTTTACTATATTTTAACTTTTACAGGTACATGGTTATTGGAAAGCAAGGCTCAACTCTGCAAAGTGATAAGTGAAATGAGCACTCTTTCTTAAAACCTAAGCCCCTACTCCAAAAAAAGATACCAAAAATCTGCCAAGAAACAAAGGGATTAACTATCAGGTTGCACAACAGCCTCTGATGCCAATATGTAGCAAAAATACCCGGAGGCTAAAGGCAAAGTTAATTTCTGATTATCTGATGGTTTCACCACGTTAATCTAACTCAAAATACAATCGCAGCTGCCATAGCACCGCTAAAAGGAGTTTGGTTTTTGAAGTTACAGTTTTGCCAAGGATTATTATAAAGAGAAGTTCAGCCTGTGCACTGGCTATCTGACAGGGGAGAAACAGAACAGGATCCATTTGTACGTGAACACCATACCATGAAAAGGCCTAAGTTTCTCTTATACCTGTTTGATAAAATGCTCTACGATAAAGATATTTTCATAGAGGCAAACTGGAAATGAACCCTTCATACAACAATACTTTATTATCTTGAACTTCTGGATAGCTTTTCTTTTGGAGAACTCATGCACTGTCACAAACATTATCCTATTCTTACAACTGTGTGAGGTAGGTGAGGGCAGGTATTATCACTACCATTTTACAAGGAGAACTAGGCACGGAGAGATGAACGAAATTGCCTAAGGATGCAGAGCAAATTAGTGGTAGAGCTCTGAATGAATCGCAAGGCTCTGGCTCCTGTTTTAGAGCTCTTTCTACTCCCAAAGGCAACAATTCTCAACGGTCTTTTCCAGTTGTGATCCTCTAAAAAGTTCCTGCATTGGAAAACACCTATGCCTTCTCCTTTACCGCTCAGGCTTGACTAGGAAGTGGGTTGAGTTAAAAAAATGTTTTTTATATAGCATTTTGTACACACCAAGAGGCATATGTGAGAGAGATATCTATATAACTCAAGTCTGAATAAATCAATATGTAAATTAAGAGGAAAGAACAGTCTTTAAGTGTTCATTCTGCATAATTTTATATTTAAGACGTGTCAGAATAAAAGTCACAAACCTTTTAAAGTTTAAATCAGAGTCTGATTCACTAAAGCCAGAAGCTGTACTAATTTTCCTTAAGAACATGGGGATCTCTGTTGCAGAGGTTAAAACATTACTTTCAAGAGTAATTTTCTTTTCTCACTTTGCTATCACTTCATATTTCAGATATATATTCTGTTCACATTATCACTCTATAGTTAGCAAAAATTCTATGGCTAGAGATAATACCTGCAGCATTAACACTTTCAATCTTAATTCTCATTTAACCGGGTTAGGATTTCTTTCCATCTATATTAACTAAAGTTACATTCTAATGATTCTCATTGTATCTTTTTTGCTTTATCTCTCTCCCTTTTTAACTGTGTGTGTGTGTGTTTGTGTGTGTGTGTGTGTGTAGGGGTGAGAAGAACTGCACGATTCATAAATGCATAAAACACTGATTATATCACAAAACAGAATGATGGCACTCAAGTAAATCAAAGAATGGTATGTCAAAGGAAAAACCTTAGAACCTAAACATGAAAAAAGTGCTCAAATAGTCTCTCAATCAAGCTATAACTTGTGGCATGTGATCCTCCTTCCCCAACTATTTTAAAGACTATTATTTACTCATAGTAGAATTCTATATAAACTGCCTCTAAAAACTGCCTTTTTCTTTTCCTCCTCTTCTTTTTTAAAGAGGAGAAAGGGGTTGTACCCTGGGCTAAGAAATGAGAAAGCTCCTGAAAAACGTTTTAAAAATCTTGTAGGGCCAAACTATTAGAAGATTTCAGTCAGTGCTTGCTGTTTCTGGTTTTTGAATTAGAAAAAGAGCATATGCACATTTGCAGGGTCATCATAAATACTATGAGATCATTCCCTTTCTGTGAAACAGAGAGCTTTCTGGAGTTAATTACCATCGGAGATCCAAGTTTGTTGCTACCAAAACCAAAGCTTCCTCTTGTTAAACTCTTGGGACCAAATTGTATCCATTAACCTGGCTGGACTGTCTACGCTAGGCAAAATTCCCCCTTCATTATAATCTACCAGTGTTTTTTCAAAATCTTTCACCAAAAACATTTTCTTTACAGGAAAGACTACCTTGTCTGGAAAGGCTCTGGTTGGTGTTTTCTATGTAAAGGGAAAAGCTGGAAAAGCCACGTTGATGGCAATGCCATGGCTCTAAGGATAAATACTTCATTTAATTTCTTTATTATAATTCGGAAGCAACTTCCAAGACTTCTCTAATTTAATGAGAACAGATGCAGCTTTAGGTCTGGGACAACAACATATAGTCAAGTTAGGTTACAGAGGCACTCTTCTTGGGTCTCTTCTGTAGGTTCAAACAGTAACAGTCCCTCTTTTACAATGTGGTTGTGAGAACTAGACAAATATTAAACAATAGTAAGGTTTCTGTCCCAGGATCCAGCAGAGAAATCTCTTCATTTCCCCCGTCACTACATACCCTCACAATCCCACTAGTCTGTTTCTTTACAAAGACCTCCTGTTTCCATAGATTCTTATAATAAAGATAGAGTCACATCTGCAACATTTTTTGTAGAGTCTTTCCTTCTTTGGTTCTAAAGATATTATTAAAAGGCCAAATCCTTCCAACTAAAGCCATGAGGTAAATAAAGATGGAAAGTTTTAGGTATTAAATACCAGAGTAATCTCCTTCTCTAGTCTCTGGCACAGCCTCTTAAACTTCAAATATAAAATTATAGATGTGCATCAGTCAATTTTTTTGAAATAATAAAACCAAAAAAAAAAGCACAATTCTGATGACCAACACTCCCATCTGTTTTCTACTCATAGAAGAACTGTTCATGACAGTTCTTTTTTGGGATGAACTATTACCGCACAAATATTTCTTTCTTAAGAGGTGGACTATAAACATGAACAAGCCACCAAGTGCTTTATCGTGGTAATTCAGTACTGACGCCAGGTACCTTAATTTACGGGGCCAACCAGTTATAAAAGCAAGAGAAGCTCTATGTGTCAGGTTCCTATGAGCTTTCAGAAGGAAAAAAAGAAATAAAGGACTATTTCTACTCGAGGCTGCCTTAAAAATGTTGGTCTACAAGAATTATATGCCTGTCAACCTAGGACAGTGTTGAAACATAATGAATAAAACTAATCAAGTTATAAGCACAATAAATATCCTTAAGAGGGGGGCATATGCTTGCAACAAAAATATATCTGACTGCTTGAAACATATTTGGTAGCAACAAATTCCTATAATCAGAGTACCAATCTTCAATTAATACTTGATGTGGGGGTGAAGGAAGTAGCTCAGAATAATATATTATTAAAAAAACTACTGTAACTAGCAAAAATGCAGAAAGAAATGATATGGCCAATGTCTGTAGGAAATCACGTGCTGATTCACTTTAAGCTGTAAAATTTTACAGGATATAAAAATAACTTTTTCCCAATTATAATTACTTGAAACTTTCTCATTTACCCCCCCTCAGTGGAAGAACAGATTATAGTACAGCAAAATGTCATACACCGAGCCTTGATAATTTAGAATTTAAAACTCAGAGAATGGGATACAGTTTATCTTTTAATCTCTTACAGGAAAATGGCTTACCAAGCAAATTCACAGTGTAAAAATACAATAGAAATATTTTACCTGTTTAAAAGAATTCACTTTTTCCACATACCTTTATAAAAAGAGTGCCAATATAATCCTGATCTATTCATTAGGAAACTGGAGGGACCATATATATTTGAAGTGAATATTCTATAATCATACTTTTCACTGCCTTCCAATTGATTTACATTCATAAATTATTATTTAAATGTTTAATTAACTGAAATACTATATTAATCAGTCTTTATCCCTGGCTTTATCTAGCCACTTCAACTCTGTTTCTTTACTGATGCTCAGGGTTGAATCAACTTTAAAAGTATGCAGGAGAAAAGATCAGGGTAGCAAATTTTCCATATAATATTATTATGGGGGAAAAAAAATCCTATTTCAAAGTCAAGTATCAGTGACTTCTGGATCATTTGCTATTTGTTTTCCAGGTCTATAAAAATGGTATCATAATCCTAATGCTGGATGATGTGACCATTTAAGCAGTTTCTAATGTAGCTGAAGTTAAAAAAAGAAATGTAACAATCATTTATTTGACAAGTTGCCCCAGAAATGCAGATCAGGTATATTAAATCCAATCTGTTAGTGTTAGTTTGCTACTTAAGGGAAAGAAATCTAACTTATAGAAAAGCCCCACCTCCCCTCCACATTTAGAAATCTGTCTAAAGACTGTCTTTAATGCCCACTATATAAACAATATTAAATATTCTAAGTTAGAAAATAGTGTTAATGGTTTATTGGTAAAAATCCAAACTCTAGACTTTATGGAACTAGTAGTTTGGTTGGTATATTAACATTCCATCTCAATCTTTGCTAATATGACAAAGAAAGAGGAAACACTAGAAATATCTATAAAAATAAAATACCTTAAAACCAACATCTAAGCAAAATATAAAAGTTGCACACAAATTGCCAATAAATATAAACATCACAATAGAAAAATTAATATAAAAAATAAACTCATAATTGCTATTAAGACATTATAAAAATGAAAAAGTTTAATGTGCATGTATATTTGCAAACAGACACAGTACACTCCAAACGATATAATTTTACTATCATTATTACATAATGCAGCATACAAGGTTACTGAGGTGTGGTGTTTTTTGTTTGTTTTTAGTCTATTCTTTTCTGGAGGAATGCTCACCAAATTTACAAACAAGAACTGGTTAGGTGATCATTTAACTGCTGTTTACTGCTTCTTAGTCCAGGGGAAAACTGCTTTCTAGATACTAAATTTCTAATAAGCATGAATGGTCCTGATATTATCCTTTCTTTTGCTTATTTCCTCCAAAGCTCAATTTTGCATGTTCTATTTCTAATTACCTGATCATACCCTTTTAGATACACTGTCATCATTTTTCATAGTTCCCCCATGCTAGAAAAAAGTAGGAATCATTTAAATATTTTTTGGCGCCAGAAAAGAAAATTTCCCTATAGATAGAGACATAATCATTTTTTCTCTTAAACGGATTTCCGTGATGATTTGACTCTCCCTTTATACGCAGTTTTCTTTAATAAAGATTAATTAGAAAAGGTTGCCAATAGATATTTAAGATACAAAAGGGTCGATCCACGCTTAAAAAAAGAAACCAAAAAAAAAAAAAAAACAATGTTTACATGTGTAAAAAACCAAAAAAAAAAAAAAAAAAAAAAAAAAAAAAAAAAGGAAAGGTAGCCTATGACTTATAATTCCTGGCAAGTTACCTTTCCCTTTGGGCACTCACTTGCTACTATACCCATACTCTTATTAAAAAGTTAAGCAGATTTGCTGTTTTATGTGCCTTATAGATAACCTTCAACGCAGCTGAGAACTGAAAATTCTGTTAAAAATTTTGTTTTCAAACTCAGAAAATACATTTGGTGAGCATTTATCTAGATACTTTACTGAATAAAAGCTTTACTTGGTTCCCTTGGACTGGATTCAGGACAACGAATAACATTATTTATATGAAACTGTCACACTCTTGGAATTCTAAAATAATTTCTTTGAAATTTTTAGCCTCGTCTATTTGAAAAATAAAAATCTACAGCACCATCTTCTGAAAAGGCACTTTCTAAGAACCACCTTACTTTAAAAAATGATTTAAAAATTTAATTCAGCGCCTACCCTGAAGAACATCTTTGCTTTACTGAGACCCTAACATAGATACATTAGATTTTGGTTACCTCAGACATTGATTTCAAAAAGGGAGACCAATGGCTAGATAGATGATTTGATAGGATCTTAATTTTGTCACACTGCTTGTTACTTGATACTTCAACAGGGTTTCTCACTGGTAAATCTCAACCCTCTATATTAAATTTATTATCTTTCCATCTTTAACTCAAATTAGAATCTTTAACTTCTATACCTTAAGAGCAAAAGATTCTTGAGGTTTAATCAACATTGTAAAAATCTAGAGTACTATCTTTGATGAGTAAAGAAAAATAAAACTCAACTAGCAGTAGATAATATTAGCACAAGCCTTGACTATTGTCTCTTGGTTAAGAAAAATTATTTTAACCAATATGGAAAATCATAAAACTAAAATGTACCGTTTTTAAAAGTAGGAAAAAGTCAAAAATATTTTCTCCCTTTGAGATATATATATATATGAGAGAGAAAGAGAGAGAGAAAAAGAGGAGAGAAGAGAGTGTTTTTTTTCCACAAGGGAATCAGCTTGTTTCACTAATCACAGTATCATTTCTAACATTGCCACTGATAAAGAATGTTCTTAGTATAAGCAGGGATTTTTTTTAAAAAACAGTTTTTTGGAGAATATTCTTTCACATTTCTGTATTGATTTTACACGTCTATTCTTGGCTTATTTTTTGACTCCTATAGGATCACAAAAGTGCTTTATATGGTCAAATGGGAGGGAAATAGGAAAATACAGACAGACTCTAGAGTCAGGGTTATATGGCCACTCAGAAGGCCTCACTTGAGACAAAGTCTCCCAACTATTATTATTGAAGCTCCATGAATTCTCAAAGAGAATGAAAAGGATTAAAACTTCATATGGATAAAAAAGCCAAAATAAAGATGCCAGGCCAATGATGTCTTTTTGCAGTTTGACTGATAACTCATAAAAGGTAATTTAAGTAGCAAGTTACTGTTAGGGGCAACCTGTCTTTAAAAGTATTCAATAGAATATCTAAGAGGATAAGTTAAGCAAATATTTAACTAAGGTTTAATGATACTGAATAAAAATTATGCAGAGTTGTCAGTTAAGCTCCTTGGAAAAACATTACTATCAAGTTTGAAATAGCAAGACTACAAAATATTCTAGCTGAATCCAAGTGGCTAGCTTCATGGATTTCATAAAAATCACTACCCTTGGCAAATTCATGTTAGCCTCTGAAAACACCCACCAAATTCCTTGAATAATGGTTTTTAATTCCTGGTCTATAATCCATCTAATTATTTCAGATCTATTACTGGCACTCTGAGTGTTCACCTTTTCTTTAAACACTGAGATCCTCTTGCCAGCCATTTCTACTGAATGGCAAGTCAGCTTTTATTTCCCTAGACATTCCTTAAGTCTGTCATGACTAAGCCTGCCATACTAAAATCCACTAGAGAATATACAAGTAAACATTAGGCAGTGGTGGGTCATCAGAGAATCTAGTTTGGAATACTAGTATAGGTCTTTAGAAGGCTAGGAGTCCCTATGCTAGAAGGTGGAGATGAATCTTTATCAATTGCCTTCCAAAACACCCAGTACATTCCTACTAGAATCCCTTCTAGACTCTCTTCTAGGAAGAAAAATAAATTAATAGGTTATAAACAGGAAGATTTCCATAGAAGAATATTTTTTCTGAGAAACTTGTTAAAAGGCAAATATTAAGAAAAAATAAAGGGCATCTGTACTTCTGTGAAAATATGCCAAAAATCAGTACTGAGGAGGTTGAGGTACCCTTTTTCAAAACTGCTAAAGTCAAAATCCACATTTATAAAACAAAAAAAAAAGAGTATCCTGATATTAAACTGAAACTAAAATGGCAGCACCCATTGTTACCTTGATAGTTCACGTTCTTAATCTTATTTAGGAACAAAAAAAGGGGATCTACAACACTAGCCTTGAATCCTGCTCATCTCCTTATTGTTTAGTGCAGTAACTGTCAGACTCTACTTAATTAAATAAATATAGCAGCTACAGTATTATAAACATATGGTCCTCAATGCCAGTAACTTGATACTGTAAGATAATAACATGTATCAGCACTTTACACAGACACATTTGCCGTCCAGAATATACATTTAACTCCCAACTCTTCTTCACATGAAAATCAATTATACCTGTTGCTGAGACTGACATTTTAAAGTCACTTATACATCACAGAAAACAGCAAACCAAAATTTAGCATTCATTATATAGTTAATGAGCAAGGGCAGGAACAAAAAGGTCACTGTTGAGTTTCATGACTATTAAATTCAAAACAAACTTTTTTTTTTTTAAATAAAATGATCAAGAATTTGACACCAGAAGTGCAATAATAATTAAAACAAATTTCAAAAAGTATTTGCCACTTAGACTTTTATCGTAAAATTCTAAGCACAAGATTTCGCATAATTAAGTTTGATACACCAACTTGTTAGTAAGCAAAATAGAAATATGCTATACATACTCTTTCAAGTTAACCAACCTTAAACTAGCAACGTTGAAACCGTAAGAAAGAAACCCTAAAAAAGAACTCACTTCAAAGGTAAAGCTTTATATTAAAAAAATCTTTTTTTTTTTTCCCAAATAGATTTAAATTATGAGCTTCACTCTAGCGTATGTGAAACCAAGTAACTGAAAATTAGGTAAAGCAGTAAATAGGGCAAGGGTTATCTACAGTTCTTCCCAGGCCCTAAAGTTTCCTGTGTGAATTTGTGCAACTCTTCCTCTCAACCATAAAGGAAGATGTTATACTCATACCAAGCAAGCACAGAGCAATCAAGTTTTTACCATCTAGGATATACTATTTTCTCCTCTTGCCCATGTTCCTGACTATATTCAATGACATTTCAATTAAAAAAAAAATACGTGCTTTATAGGAATATTTTGGAGGAGGGGAGTGTTGGGAGAAAAAATGTATATACTATACAATACTATCTCATGTAAAGAGCTTTGAAACAGTGTTGTAAATTGCATTTCAGACACTTCAGTATAATAGACATACAAAATACAGTACTTTCCTAGTTTTCTGGCAGAGGGACAAAAGATTTCATACCTGTTGGAGGACATGGGCTCAGATTTTAGGCTCAAAATACAGTAAATTGGCAATAAGAGTGGATTATAGGTAAGAGAGAAAATAAAGAGCTAATCCATTCGTTTTCACATGCAGATGGAATTCTGAAAGGTTAACAACAATGCCCACTGGAAACAATCTGTAATATCTATACTCTGAACCAGTGCAAAAAATAAAAAATTAAAATGCAATTTTCATGAGTTACAAAGTGCAAAGCTCCCCTGAATCCAATGTTACTGATGAGCTCAGTTTTGACAGCTTTATAGTACTTTTTAGTATCTTAATGTGAAGTCAATAAAACAAAAGTTTTGTAAAACTTTTTCCCATATTTCAGTGATTTAACTCATTTAAAATTATCAAAGTCCTAACTTCCTTTGTCACCATAACCCTAATTTTAAAAGGAAAGTTACACTGGTGATGTTAGCAAAAATATTTTTAAAATATCATTTTACATTTTCCTGATTGATTTTAGTACATGAAAATGGACACCTAACCAGTATGATTCTTCAATAAACATGATCTATTTTCAAAGAATTTAAATATCTTCTAAATCTTAAGCTATTCAGTGTCACTTCTTAAATCAAAGTTCAACTTTATTTCTAACATTAAAGGTCAGACTCATTGAGGAAATTTAACTTCCTTCATTTTCATTATGATTTTTAAAAGACATGCTTTAAACTTGAAAATTACAAAACTTTCCTTCTGAAATTAAGGCTGTATTACTTTGCCCTTTTAAAATTATGGAGGTGCCTGTTTCTCCCACTATCTGTGGTAAAGATGTCAGACACAGCTTTCCGTTAAAACTGCTTATTGCACTAAAAGATAGCAAAAACAAGTTGTCAGTTCTTAAAATAAACATGATTATATTTCTATAAAAGATGTTGCCAATATGGTTCTATAATTATTAAAGCACTATTCTAATAAATATAAAAGAAAAGGAAGCTGTACTTCAAAACACATACATATATGTTTATATATACACACACATATATATAAAAATATATATATGAAAATCACATTAAGGTATGGGAGGCAGCAAGTAAACTAGCAAAAAGAAAATTTTTTTAAAAACTTCAACAACTTCCCCTCCATCCAATTTCAGAGGCCTCAACCCTACAGAGTTCCAATCATTCAAAATATTTATCCTTTATAAAAGCTTTAAGGGATTTCCATGTATAATCCATAGAAACAGAAGGCTTTAGAATACATATCACTTATAGAGAGAAAGAGTTACAACTTCTGACAAGGTTTTATACTTATAGCAGCTTTAACAAACTCACTAAAGAAAAAGAATAGTTTAGGTTGCTACTGCTTATGTACACATTGCACAAATGGCAAATGTAAGTTCAGAGCAGGAGGGGGCAGACACACACTCTCACAAAAACAAATGTATATATAAAATAATTCTGTTTCTTAAGAAAGCACTATCAAGAGTTGAGGATTCAGAATTGTGTATGAGACAAGACACAGGAGTAGGGTGTGCAAAATAAAAATTAAAATCTAGTTTGTCATGCTTCATATTCAAATGAACCAGATACATGAACATTTGAATGTCACTGGTAGCATTAGGAAAAAAAATGTAGGTGATGAAGGCAAGGGAGGTAGAGAGAGAAATAAAAGTGGTGGTGGGGGGATAATAAGAGGGAAGGAAAGTTCCCCAATGGAATGAACTATAAAATATATACAGAGACACATATATATCTATTATCAATGTAGATCCAGATATATATGCATATGAAGTATGCATGTATATATTTAAAATATACACAGATACCTTTTACAAGAATAGATGAATGCACATTTTTTTTGCACACATAATTGTGAACAATCACTTTGATTATTCATGTAGGTGTATTTTTTTAAACCATCATTTTCTTTTTCTTTACTTTTTTTGCAAAGATAATTGTGCTGCCAAGCAACTTGAGGTAAAGGCATTAAAAGGGTTAGACTACAAGAAAGTGAAAACAAAACAACTGCGATACTTCCTACAGGAGACCGCACAAAAAAAGCAGTTGGCTGGTTTCATATTGCATAATGGTGCTGTGTTCCTTGATGAAGTAAACAATCTTCCTTGTATCAACATAAAGATCAGACCCTGGCCCCCACACAGTGTTGGTTTCTGTATGGCTGGAGGCATCCCCACTCAATTACTCCACTGGAAACATACGTTGTATGTCGATTCATCTTTCAGTTCTTCCTCTCAGAGAATATTCTTGGACTTTTTAAGCAAAGTACATTGTGCGTAAGGTATCTTGGTGAATCTGTACAGCCTTGGCAAGAGCTTGTGGATCTCGCCCATTGCTCTGTCCTGAAACGTGACTTCCTTCAGCACTGTAAGAGAAGTGGCAATGAACACAAAAACAAACCCTATGCTGATGTAATAATTCTGAAAAATATTGTTTGTTGTAGAAAATTTCAAAAATGTTAAAGAAAACAGAGGTGCTATTATAATGAACTCCTACATGTCTATCACCCAGCTTCAATAATTATTAACTCAAGGCCAATTTTGTTTTACTTTTCCTACCTCCCTAGGATTATTTAGAAACAAATTCTAGACATCCCATCATTTTGTCCATATATATCACTTTTATTATCAATTATCTCTCCCTTGAATTAATTTGGTAAAGCAACTAAATCACTATATCATTCTATTACTAATAAGCCTAGACTGCACATTTTAATGGGAACCCTTATCTTGGGGCAGTCAGTTCTGACTATTATTGCTTTTCAATATGGATCACAGATTCCTCTAAAAGCTTGTGGAACTTGAATACTAAATGGCAGTACTTTATGGCAAACAGAGAGGCACTTACATGGAAACACTTAAAGAAATTTCCCAAGAAAGTTCTAACATGCAGACCATACTTAGATTTGGGTGAGAATCTGTATTTGTTTAGTTTTTATATTACCTGTCATGTTCTTTGTCCACGAGATGATATCTGGCTCTAAATGCCACCAGGTGAGCATAATACGCTGGTGCAGGTATAGAAACAGATCGTGTACAGCGCACATAAGTGTGGCAGAGCTGGTAAGTTAGCAGCTGAAGTTCATCTGCAGTAAAGCAGTTATCATCCCACAAAACATGATAGTGTGAAGGACGGCTGGTACCCTATAGAGAAGGCAATGGCATAGTCTGTTGATTTCTAAACTTTTAAATAAATATTCAGCACAGACTAAGTTATATTAAAAACCAGCTTTGTATATTAGTAAAACATATTCTAATCTAATAATCAATTAAAAAACATCCAGTTGATTCTGAGTATATATCCAAAAGAAGTGAAAGCAGAGACTTGAACAGATATTTGCACACCCGAGTTCAAAGCAGCCTTATTCACAATAGCCAAAGGTGGAAGTTACCAAGTATCCATTGATGGATGAATCGATAAACAAAATATGGTATATACATATAATGAAATATTATTCAGTCTTTAAAAAGTAATAAAATTCTGACACATATGACAACATAGATGAACTTTGATGACATTATGCTAAATGAAATAAAGCAGTTAACAAAGAGACAAATAATGTATGATTCATTTATATGAGGTACCTGGAATAGCCACATGCATAGACAGAAAGCAGAATGGTGGTCACCAGGGGCTGGGGGCCAGGGAGGAAGGTGGAGTGTTTGATGAGTAAAGAGTGTCAGGGAAGATAAGTTCCAGACACAGACGGTGGTATGGCTGCACAACATCGTGAATGTACTTAACGTGACAGAACTGTACACTTAAAAATGGTTAAAATGGTGAATTGTATGTTATGTATATTTTACCAAAATAAAAAAACCAGAACATTTAGTTGAGCTCTTCTGTATTAGTTACTATGTTAGGTACTATGTAGTCAAAGAAAACCAAAGTCAAAGGTTTCCTGTCTTTTGGAAAACATAATTTAGTAGAGGAATAGAGGAGATCAAGCATCTACAATTATAAAGCAACTATTATTATTATTTTTTATAATTTTATTTATTTTTTCCCCCAGAGCCCCAGTAGATAGTTGTATGGCATAGTTGCACATCCTTCTAGTTGCTGTATGTGGGACGCGGCCTCAGCATGGCCGAAGAAGCGGTGCGTGGGTGCGCGCCCGGGATCTGAACCCAGGCCACCAGCAGCGGAGCACGCGCACTTAACCACTAAGCCACGAGGCTGGCCCGAAAGCAACTATTAAATGGCAATAGCACTACTGGCAGTTAGTCCTATACAAGAATACCAAAGGAAGTAATTGGAAGATAAGCCTGGGGGTTCTTCACCAAGGGGGGAATGAGGGAGATTTGGCCTTTTTTGGGCAGGTAGGGGTGAAGAGACACTAGAGAGAATGAACAGCCTCAATAAAAGCACAGCAGACATAACATTTCGTGGCGTATTTGGGGAATAGCTAAAAGACTAGTATGAACAAAGTATGGTGCACAAAGGGAAAAAGATGAAGCTGAATAGAAAGTTTGGAATCAGAGTGATGACATGCTTAGGCATTTGGACTTCCACCAGTAGGCAGCAGGGAAAGCACTTCACAGTTTTTTTAACAGGAGAATTTTTAGGTGTGATGAGATTGGGGTTTTATAAAAGTAACATCAGCAATAATATGGAGGATGGATTAGACATCTGGAGAGACTGAAAGCAAGAGAAGCAGTTAGGAGGCTGTTGCATTAGTCTGGTACGAGATGATGAAGGTATGAACTAAGGAATGGCAGTGGCAAAGGAGAAAAGGAGAAAGATTAGCTCATACTTTAACAAACATTTGTTTGAGTATCATTTGTCAGACTGTGCAAGATTTGGGGGATAAAATTCAAATTATTACCAAATCCTACCTCTCCCAGATTATATGTTTATAATGGATATATAATATACTATACATTCACATATTCAATATTTACTGAACACTCACTATATGCCATGTCCTGTATCAGGTGCCGGGCACACAGTAATGAATAAGACACACGTTCCAGTAATGAGACAGATAATACATAAATAAAACCATCAGAAATTAGGCTATCAAGAGAATTAAAATGTAGGATAGCATGGAAGACTGAGTATGTCTGTGCCTTCTTTAAAGTGGGCTGTCAGGGAGGGCCTATCTCTCTGAGGAGGAGACATGGAAGTGAGCTCTGAATGATAAGGAGGGCTTGTGAGATCAGAGGGAAGAGCATTTCAGGCACAGGGAAGAGAGAGGGCAAAAGTCCTAACTATACACAATTCATTCACTTCTCTCTCATCATCATTCTAGTCCCAACCACCATCATCTTTCACCTGGACTATGTTAACAGACTCCTAATTGATGTCTGTAATACCACTTTTAATCCCAGTAATCTGTACTTAATTGAAGTGAATTAAACATGCCCCCCCCCCCCAGTTATGTCAGTGTCCAGCTTAAAGCCTTTTTTAATGGCTTTCCAAAGCACTTAAGACTAAAATCCAAGTTCTTATCTTCGCCCAACAAGGCCCACATAATCCAGCCCAGGCTACCTCTCTAACCTACTCTCATGCTGCAGTAGCAGTCTCTATTCGATTCCTTCAATGGATAAAAATTTTTCCACCAAAAGGGCTTGTACATGTGCCTCCGGCAGGAATTCTCTATCCCATTTTGGCTTGGTTAACTCCTACTCATTCCTTAAGATCTTACCTTAAATGTCACTTCTCAGGGAAGCTTTTTGTGGTCTCTCAATCTAAATCAGGTCCCGACTAAAATCTGTCTTCCTATCTTTACTTTTTCTTTATTGCACTCATCCCAGTTTATAAATATATATGTGAGATTACTTACTTAACATCTCTCTCCCAATAAACTAAAAGAGTAAGGGATTCTATTTATTTGTTCACTCTTAGTATTGATACTCTTAGTATCAATACCTATCTCCTAAGAGGTACACAATAAATATCTGTTGATTGAATGAATGAGTAGCCTCTGCCTTTTGGGACCTTATAGACTAGTGGAAGGCGGAGAGAAACAAAAGAATGTTACAACGCTGTCTAATAAGTTTAAGAAAGAGGTATGCATAGAATGCTCAGGCAGTGTGGAGGAGAGGCATTTGTCTTGGGGAAACATACAAGAAAGGAGTTGGGAGGAGGATCGGGAGGAGTTGATGTCTGAGATGAGTCTTAAAGGATGAGCAAGAATAAGTCAGAGAAGGAATATTTAAGGTAAGGAAGCAGCATGGGCAGGATTGAGTTATGAGAACTACCTGAAGATAGTTTAGAATGGCTGCAGCTTTGTGTGTTTGTGTATGTGAAGGAGAGGAAACAGAGAAGAGGTGAAAAAAAGAGAGGAGGAGGAGGGAAGAATGGGAGAAAAGAGAGACAGACAGACTGAGGGCGCAGCAGAAGTGAAGGAAGTAGGATAGGGGATATTGGGAATTGAATCAATATGTTGTCCTAAGATACCACTAAGCAGATGAATGATAAGGTCTTATCTATGTTTTAGTTAATCTGATGGAGAACAGACTAAATGAGGGCACTTAGGATCATTTTGCAATTGTATAGGAAAGTAATAATGAGAATTGGAACTAAGCAGGAGAGGTGAGGGTAAGAAAAACGGATAGGCCTGAGAGTGAGAAGGTAGATTCTACAGGGTTGAGGGATTCATTAGATGAAGGTGGTTAGGTGACCGAGTGCAGTCAAAAACAACTTCAAGGTCTGGAAATTAGGAGAAAAGTTGTGTGTGTAAAAAGAGATTTAAAAGGCATAAATATTATTTGAATTTAAAATGTTAAAGGGTGGATGGAAGAACAACCACCAAATCAAGAAAAAACAGAAAGGCAAAATGACAGGTAGAAGAAAAATATGTAGTGGAAGCCAAATGGTAGATGGTTTTGATGAATGAGTGATAATAGAGTCAGATGTTGCAGAGATCAAGGAGCAATAGTGGTGGTGTAGAAGGCAGGCTGCTTAAGTTGAACAGGAAATAGCAGGTGTAGTCTTTTATTCTTAACGTAAACATTCGACAGAAATATAAATATAGAGAGAAAAATACATGGACCATAAGTGTACACACTGATGAATTTTCACAAAGTGAACATACCCATGAAACCAGCACCCAAATCAAGAAATTGAACATTAACTGCAACCATAAAACCCCTTTGTGCCCTCTCCTGGTTACTACCCTATCTACCCTGCTCCTGGTAACCTCACGTGTAACATCATAGATTAGTTTTGCCTGTTTTTGAACTTTATAATAAATGGCATTATAAGTATGTACCCTTTGAGTCTAGCTTCTTTGGTTCGACATTGTGTTTGTGAAATTCACAGATATTATTGTATCAGTCTCATTACTGTACAATAGTCTGTTGTATAAATATATATTGATGGTTATTTATCCAATCTACTGATTACGGGCATTTGAGTTGTTTGTAGTTTTTGACTATTATGACCAGTGCTACTATGAACATTAACATATTATGCCTTGGTGAACACAGATATGCATTTCTGTTGGCTATCTTGTAGTGGAAATCCTGGGTCATAGAATACACATATATTTAAATTTACTAGATAATGCCAGACAGTTTCAAAAATGTTCATATTAATTTATACTCCCACCAGCACAGTATGAGTTCCAGTTGCTCTATATCCTTAATACTTGTCTTTTGTGTGTGTGTGTGTCTTAGGAAGATCGGCCCTGAGCTAACATCCGCGCCAATCCTCCTCTTTTTGCTGAATAAGACTGGCCCTGGGCTAACATCTGTGCCCATCTTCCTCCACTTTATATGGGACGCCGCCACAGCATGGCCTGACAAGCGGTACATCGACGCGTGCCCGGGATTGAACCTGGGCCACCAGCAGCAGAGCGCGCGCACTTAACCACTATGCCATGGGGCCAGCCCCGCTTGTCTTTTTTTTAAATTTCAGCCATTCTGATGGGTGTGTTTACGCTATTCTTTGAAGAACAGTTTGGTGACAAATGGAAGAAAAGATATGGGGCAATAACTTAAAAGAGAACAGCAAGATCAAGGAATTGTATTTTAGGATGGGGGTATCTACAAGCCAAGGGAATGGAATCAGAAGCTTAGAAGAGATTGAAGATATAAGAAAGGATAACTGGTGAACTAAGGCCAACTTAAGGCAGGCAAGAGCAAGTGAGAACAATACTACAGGCTGACCCTTTCTCCTGTGAGAGGAGGGAAGAAAGTAGGCGTGACTGACAATATAATTTCTTAGTGAGGTAAAAGGAAGAGGTCACGTGCTGAGTGTTGGGGCAATAGACCAAGGTTAGGGACCCTCGGAAAATGGTAAGAGCTAATGAAAGAGGAGTCAAAGGATTGTTAAACAATAGTGAAGAATATCTTTGAAGTTTTGGTGATTCATATCAGGAAGTTATAATTTAGGGCACTGCCTGCTCTGATTCCTCAACAGGGAGCATTTCTCTCTTCAGGAGAATTCCCTTTGGTGGGTGGGTGGGGGGGTCACATGCTCCACGCAGTTCACATGTTTGTAACAGTATGTCAAGTGGGATTTATTTTCCCTGCTATCCCGGAATTTCAACTGTGGCCCAAAGCAGAGGACTAAAGGTACTAAGCATCTTACATTCTAAAGCGCTACCAACCTTTGAAGCCAGTCACCTTCCTTCAAGGGCTCACTGTGAGGAGCCAGTTCTGGATAGATCTTATCATCAATTCCCTGGCTCTGGCCTCTTCTCATCTTCTCTCCATCCTCTCAATATAGGAAGAGAGTGATTGAAGGTTTTGTGAAAATATGGAATTTTATTTTATTTTATTATTTTTTTTGTGAGAGAGATCAGCCCTGAGCTAACATCCAATGCCGATCCTCCTCTTTTTTTTTGCCAAGGAAGATTGGCCCTGAACTAACTTCCATGCCCATCTTCCTCCACTTTATATGGGACGCCGCCACAGCATGGTGTGACAAGCGGTGCGTCCGTGCGTGCCCAGGATCTGAACCCGTGAACCCCGGGCCACCGAAGCTGAGTGCGTGTACTTAACTGCGTGCACCACTGGGCCGGCCCCCTAAAATATGGAATTTTAGTTATGAGGAAAGGCACACTCTCTCCCCTGAAGTCAAGTAAGGGGGACTCCAAGAAAATCAGTTATAAAGATGAGGGCCTTCTAGAAAGGGAGACTATCATCTCATTCCCCAACTGGATACTTTCTGAACTCAGAGTCCATAGGCCCACTCTGTCAAGTCCATAGAGCTAGAGTGGTTAGTTCTTGGAAGCAGTTTTAGGAGCCAAAAGAAGGAATGTGAGCAGAGGCACAGGAGCCATGAAGCCATGCAATGGGATCTCTACCCTAGAGGAGCTGGGGTCTATATTGATGATGAGGCCAAAGGAAGACACTGCTGCCCTTCAAGGGTCCTCAGCTTCACAGAGACTAACGCATCAGAAAGAATCAGAATGGACTATTGAAAGGCTCGTGTCACCTCCCACTACTGACATGCTGGCAGTCAGTGATACCAGATGAGTTAGAATTCTAGAAGGAGGAGAGGACGGAGGTATCTCAGAGGCAGGCCATGGTCCCCTCTTCTACTCAAAGCTATTGGGACCAAAGCCCTAGCCTGTCCTGGTCAGGTGGAGGGTAGAAGGGAGGAGCCAAGCTTTGACTTGATTTGTAAATTTAAGTTTAAAAAATGAATGGGAATTTTACTGCAAAATAAAAAGGGGAGGGAAGGAAATGGGGCTAAGCTGTAAACACCAACAAGACCAATAAAAGTGTCAAGAAGTTATGGAATTCGGCCAAAATGTCATTAAAGGATCTATTACTCACTGGTAAAGTTAAAAGTAGTGATATGAAAAAATAATCTCTTATACTGGTTAGAAATGATTGGGTTTTTAATTTTAGCTGGTAAAAAACAAAACTCCTTTTTTTGATCTCAGAGAAGTTTGAAAATTCTAATAAAGCTAAGATGTTTAAAGAATCATCTTTAGCCTCTGTGAAATATTCCTGATTATTTGCTGACTAGAGCAAAGTTTCAACTCGGTGTTCCAAAGGAAAATTGATCCCTAAAGTCTCTGGTTAAATACATGGGGGAAATATTCCTATCTTGAAGATTTATAACAACCGTTTGCATATCAATGATATCCAAAAGTTCTAGATTAAAAAAATCTGTTTAACAAGCATTTCCAAAATTTATTTGAACAGAGAATCTTTTTTTCTCCTCTGTGATATTTATTAAAAAGTCATAGCAATGGGCCGGCCCCATGGCTTAGTGGTGAAGTGCGTGCGCTCTGCTGCTGGCGGCCCGGGGTTCGGATCCTGGGCACGCACCGACGCACCGCTTCTCTGGCCATGCTGAGGCCGTGTCCCACATACAGCAACTAGAAGGATGTGCAACTATGCCAAACAACTATCTACTGGGGCTTTGGGGGGGGAAAAAAAAAAAATTTAAAAAGTCATAGCAGTAGTGTTCCTTGGGATACATGGAGGGAAACACTAGGTTAAAATACGTATTCCAATGATGTAGATTTTATCTCTAGAAGGTACTTTTTTTTTTTTGGTGGGGAAGATTGGCCCTGAGCTAACATCCACTGCCAATCTTCCCCTTTTTGCTTGAGGAAGATTGTCCCTGAGCCAACATCTGTGCCAATCTTTCTCTATTTTGCATGTGGGACACTGCCACAGCATGGCTTGACAAATGGGGTGTAGGTCCATGCCTGGTATCCAAACCCTTGAACTCCGGGCCGCTGAAGTGGAGCGCACGACATTAACCACTATGCCACTGGGCCAGCCCCTAGAAGGTACTTTTAACTTTGTTTTGCTAAGTGATTGTTATCACCCACGATGAAAATGTACAACACTAACTGTAAAGAGCAGCAGATATAAGAATATAGATAAATGAGTGGGACAACAATTTTAAAGCTGTAAGAGTGAAACTGGACTTAGTGTATGTGTGACACATAAAGCTTTAAGGTACAGCTGTACAGTAATGTACATCTTCCTGAAATTTCTATTTTAATCAATGGCAAGTAACCTAAAATAGTTCTGGCCTACATTCTCTCAGACATCCGAAGAATGTGGATTCACTTTCTGCTGCTGAAAAGTTTGAGAAGCACTGAATTAAAGCTTATGTTCTACTAAGTATAGCTAACAAATTAACAAAAAGATTTTCTGAAGAGAATAAGACTCAAAATTATTTAACTGAAACTTAAAGCTGTAATTCTACAATTAAACTCTTTCACATGCTCAATATCTGCCAGTAAATGTCAAAGTTTTCTATGAAGTATTATTATCAAAAAGAAGCATATATCAAAGGAACAATTAGGTATTTAAAATTTTTTTGAAGTATTAGGTTAAACTAAGGACCCAGTTTAGGGAGATTCATTCTATTAAACTACTTATATTCTGGTATTTTCATAGAAATAAGCCCCTCTCAAGAAAGGGGAAAAAATTTATTTACTCAAAGTTTCACTTAATTTCATGTGGAAATAATATGGAGTGCAGAGAAGAGTATTTCTTTCTCTCTTTTTTTGAAATTAAAAAAAATATACATAAGAACGCAAGTTCCTGAATTACATTTCACCCGAAGTGTAGGCTTACCTGTATTCCAGCATGGCTACAGAGGTAAAAATCGAACTCATATGGGTGTGTAATGTCTGTATCAACTGTTGTTCCAGCTGGGATGTTGCCACTTCTTCCGACCTAGATTTGTTTGGTCAAAGTTTAAACAACAAGACAAAGGTAAAGGGTGTGTCTGAAAGCACTTTAAAACACGTATAAGTATATAGGCTGATCCCATGTTTCACCTCTTTCAGGTTGATATATTACTTAAGCAAGCATTAAGAGCAGACTTTATTCTAGTCCTGGTTCCTATTCTTAAATGTTGCTGAAAGAAAGAGCTGACAAACAACGAGTTATTAGTTTCTACTGAGGCTTAGCTGGTAGTTGATCCCAGTAGGGGTGGAAGACTTAAAAAAATTTTTTTAAAGTTACTTTAAGTGCTCCAATTTATGGTGCCTGTGCACAGCAGGTACTTCTGAATGTGTAACTCATGAAAATCAGCATTTTCCTTGGAGAAGACTATTTTTAGAGAGAAAGAATGCTGACAACATCATCAACAAAAGTCACCATTTGTTAACCATTTGTGTGTCAGGTACTCTACATACATTATTTCTAATCCTGATAACCCTGCTAGTTAAGTATTATTCCCATTTGTATGGGGAAACTAAGGCTGAGGATATAAACTAATTTGCCCAATAGCATACAATAAAGAGCAGAACTGGTAATCAAACACAGAAACGACTGCAAAGGCCCTATTCCTTTGATTTCATACTAGCAGATTCAAGATCCCATAAGGAAACACACCATGATTTGCTCTGAGTAGATATGATGTAAATGAAATAGTTTGAAATTCCTCATAATGAAAGGCTCCTAATAAAACACTTTAAAATACATATGTATACTCACCTCCACCTCCTTATCCCTAACATATTTAAAATCATTAACTATAAGTCTAGGTTTACAAGGCTAGCAAATCAGAGCCTATTTTACTGACTCAGACATTATTTCTGCCATGTGAGGGACTGCTATCAGGTAGTGCCTTGAGTTACAGCTGTGTGGACCAACCAGCTAGCCTTCACCAAGCACAAAACAAAGAAAACAGTTCATAATCTACTAAATCATGCCTATTCTTAACACATAAACCTTCTAATTAATATATATAAAAAGTTTTACTCTATTCAGAGAGGCAGCAAAATGCCTAGGCTCATATCACAGCTCCACCAATTTCTAGTTGTGCGGTCTAGGGCATGGTATTTTACCTCAGTGTGTGTCTGTTTCCTCATTTACAATGATCTCTCATCTATAATTAGTAGTAGTATTTAGAGCAAAGGTGAAAGAGAAGCAAACAAATGATGGATTGGCACAACTAAACATTAGATGCTAGTAATCATTAAATCTAACTTAAGTTTTCCTAATTCTACTTTTGAAGAAATCTTTGGTTTTCTAGGTACAGAAATGTACCTAGTAATTTGGGGTCAACGGCCTTTAACAACCTGGAGGCCATAATAAAACTATCACTGCTGCTATTAGAGAGATAGTACAGACAGTGATTAAGAGCCCTCTGGAGCCAAACTGCCTGATTTGAGCCTTAGCTTTACCAATTACTAGCTTTGTAACTTTGGGAGATTACTTAACCTCCACGTGCCACAGTTTCCTCCTGTGGAAAATGGAGATAATAATAGTAAGTCTCTCAATGTATTGTTTGTGAGGATTAAATGAGTTAAATTTATAAACAATATCTAGAACAATGTCTGCTATTATTATTTCTTTTTCTCTATTACTACTACTATCACCACCAATCTACAACTAGCTAACCTTTATTGAGTGCTTAGTAAGTGCGAAGCACCATTCTAAGTGCATTACATATTATAATGTATTTAATCTTCTCAACAATTCAAATAAGGTAAATAATTTTATCCAAACCTTGCTGAGAAAGAAACAAGCACAGAAATGTTAAGCTACTTGCCCAAAGTTACACAGTCAGTGTAACCAAAGACCAAATATATACCAAAGACAAGACCACTCCTCTCTCTCCGTCTTTTCCATTGAACCCCTTTCCCAGGGAACACTGACACTTGGAATCCTCAGATTTCTCTGCTCCAAGGTTTGCAGGATGCGGGCAGAGCACTGGAAATGATAGCAAGACTGCTACTTGCCTATGTTGCACACAGACAAGAAGACAGATTTCCCTAGGTATTTATATCCTTTCCCTTCCTAAATATAAAAATACATATTCACATTATAAAATACAGAAAATAATTCTGTGCATTTTAAAGGAGGCATTGTTTACAAGTTAGTTTGCTGAATTTCCACTAATCATTCTAAAAGTCCCTAGCTTTTAAAAAAACTAATTTTTACAAGATATTTTAAAAAGAGAATGTACCTTTTTTCTTCTGAACATTTAAGAAAAATATGAGTAGAAAGAACAATTTTAAAACTATGAGTTTCTTCACAAAAACAAAAAAGTATTAATGGGATTTTGAACATCTAGAGTATTACTAGAAGTTCCAGAAAGTTAAAAAGTAACAAGCAAGGCCAGCCAGGTGGTGTGGCAGTTAAGTTCGCGCGCTCAGCTGCAGAGGCCCGGGGTTTGCAGGTTTGGATCCTGGGAGCAGACCGACGCACTGCTTGTCAAGCCATGCTGTGGTGTCCCATATAAAGTAGAGGAAGATGGGCACGGACGTTAGCCCAGGGCCAATCTTCCTCAGCAAAAAAGAGGAGGACTGGCAATGGATGTTAGCTCAGGGTTAATCTTCCTCACACACACCCACACACCCACACACCCACACACACACACACACAAAGTAACAACCTACTTTGATACTTTTATATTCATAATCTGCTTTGCTGAAATCTGGTACTATGTATTAGAAATTTTGCTGTTGGCAAGAAGCCTTTGTTAAGTGCTCTAAGAACTATGTTAGATAAGACTGGCTTATAATAGTATTACAACAGATGTAAGATTACCCTTTCTGTCCTATCAGCACAAAATAATCGCGTGTGATGTCTCTTCTGAACTACAATATAGGTTATTCCAGGTTGATAGTCTTTCTCCAAACTGATGCAGGCTTCTCGAATTGCTAGTAGCTCATAATATAATACCTAGAGAAGATGAAATAGAAAGATTTGATATAGCCAGCTGTTCTCTTATACATACTTAAACGTAAAATAACGATTTAGTCTCAGGATTTCTAAATCTCACCACTTCACAGCTAAATATACTTCTCTTTTCCATCTTTATTATCAGAGCATGGTCTTAGCAATCAAGGCTTATACATCCATAGTAAACATGTTACAAGGGAAAATCTAAGGAAGCATCATATTTTGACTTTAGGAACTCTCAACTTAATTAAGTCTTCTAATTTCAGAACTAGACACCACAATATAAACACAGTATCTGATTTAACCATAGTATGATGAGATCCCCGGCAACCAACCTGCCTAAACTGTCCCTCTGAAACACCATCCCGATAAAAGATGATACGAGTAGGTTTGAACCGAGTTGACTTATAAAACTGAATGAGAAGTTCTCGGACCATGGAGGCCAAGTCCTGGATGATCTCCTGTCGGGGTCTCTGAACTCTTACTGTAGCGCAGTATCTGCTTGGGTGAGCATCCATACTACCTACAACCTAGGTTGGAAAAAGTAAAGAAAAACAGAAATTAAGATAATCAAAACTATAAGAATATGAATTTTACCACAATAAAAAAAAATTGAAAAAAGGAACATGGATTTCATTTAAATTTGTATTTTATTATAACCTTCCTATTTATCCCTGTTCATTTTGAGAGTAATCACAAACAGATAATTCCCAGTGAAGAACAGAATAAAAGACCTCGTATAGGGTCAAAAACTATTTTCCTATAAGTAGGCTGTACTTTACAGTTAATAATTAGATTCTAATTTATAGATGTTGCTGATAAATCTAAAGATTAGTAAGGAAAGAGACAAAAAGATATACATGAAGAGAAGAAGAGAAAGGAGATAAGTAAAAAAGAGGACCCTGTCAAACCCTTGATTTCTCTCTATATCTCTTATACTTTAGCAAACCACCCCCAGAAGCCATACTTAAGACTTTGACATCATCTTTGAACTGTTATGCTTCATAACTTTTAAAAGGACTTTTCTCTTTTTATTGCAAGGTCCTAGACCAGAAAGCTTGAATCTATCGTCAGTCTTACTGTCTTAAATTTGTGTTCTCTATCTGCTCCTCAGAAAAGTTAATCTTGGTTTTGGGAATAGCTCTTAATTTTCTCTTTCTGTGTCTTTTTTAATATTGTTATGTGCCTGGAGCAGAGGGAAGTTTGAAGCATGAACTTATAAGTTCACCTTGACTATAGTCACTCACAGACCCACTGAAGCATGATCTCTGGAACCCGAATATTTTAAAAATGTCTACACATCATTCTGATCAGAGCCTAGGCTGAGAAACAGCTGGTCACTGCCTCTAGCTTCTCTTTCTTCTAGGGTACTATTTATAACAAGCCATGCTTCAAAAATGGAACTCTTCACTCCCCTGTTCATTGCTGCATTATTTACAGTAGCCAAGACATGGAAACAACCTAAGCATCCATCGAAGGATGAATGAATAAAGAAAACGTGGCATATACATACAATGGAGTATTATTCGGTCATGAAAAAAGAATGAAATCTTGCCATTTGTGACAACCTGGATAGACCTTGAGTGCATTATGCTAAGTGAAATAAGTCAGACAGAGAAAGACAAATACTGTATGATCTCACTTATATGTGGACTCTAACAAAACAAAACAAAACAAAACACACCAACCTCATAGATACAGAGAACAGATGGGTATTTGCCAGAGGTTGGGGGTGGGTGATAAGTGAAATGGTAAAGGGTGTCAAAAGGTACAAACTTCCAGTTATAAAATAAATAAGTCTTGGGGATGTACTTTACAGCATGGCGACTATAGTTAATAATACTGTATTGCATATTCGAAAGTTGCTAAGAGAGTAAATCTTAAAAGTTCTCATCATAAGAAAAAAACTGTTTGTAACTATGTATGGTGACAGATGTTAACTAGACTTATTGTGGTGGTCATTTCACAATAATACAAATATTGAATCATTATGTTGTACACCTGAAACTAATATAATGTTATACATAATTATACCTCAATTAAAAATAAATAAAAACAGTACTTCCAAAGAGTGTCTAACTTCCTGTCCGTACTTTAAATGTCTTACTTACTTGAAACCAAAATATGGAAAATTCTTACGTTTCTCTTCTGTAGGTCAGATTAGAAAATAACCAAGAGTTTTTAAAAAAATAAGCTAGAATTTGTCTACTTATTTATGTACATGGGTTGTATCTGCTTTTTTTAATCTTCTATATGTAAAACAAAGAAAAAAAAAAGAACTGACCATTTCTTTCCCTTGAATGCTCTCTCACTACTAAAAAATAAATCCATATCCCTTCTGATGGTACAAAAAACCTCACAAAAACTTACCAGCCTCACAGCCTGCTATATTACATTCTAATTCCCTGCATCTCTCAATGTTCTCCAAACACATCAAGTTTTTGCAATCTAAATTTTAATTTACATCACTATCAAGGTAGTATCTTTTATAATATGTGGCATTTATTACTTACATTTGTTTCTTACACTAGTCTTTAAGTTCTTGGGAATAGAAGCCATATAGCAAAAAGAATTAATCAATAAATTCTATTTACAAGACCTGTGATAATCATAAAAGAAAGCAGGTATTTGGTAGAAATGGATCTAGTAGAAAAGGAGAGTGACTACCTGGAACTCCAAAAGAATTCAAATATGCTTGAACTGTCTTGGAAAATGACCCGAAAACAGCAAATCTAAAGTGAGTCTTTTGAATTTCTTTCCTTACCGTTTTATCTTCTATAAGAATATTTTAATGAATATCACAGATGGCTCAATACTACCTCTAGAACATTTGAAATATAAACAATGTATGCATAACTATAAGAATACAAAGCAATATAATTTATTAATAAAATTAATTTTCTTTATTAATGAAATAGCTTTGGAATCCTAAGTGAAAATTTTAATATTACTACCATTTTCAAGGATAAATAAGATTTATCAGATTGTTAAAACTTAAAATTTATATAAAGATTATAAAATGGATGGTAGAAAAATATAAAAAGTCTTACAGTTTAATTTCTGAAATTTATCAAGTATGCCTAAAATATGTTGACATTTTAAAAACGGTGGCCTTTGTTAAGATCAAACAATTTTCAAGTTGGGTAAAATATTATCTAGCTTTCTGAAGTTTATAAGAAATATACTTAAAAGAAATGACATAGAAAGGGTACAAATATAGAGGTGGGCAAAGATATAATAGGCAGATATTAAAAGTAGGAGTGGCAGTATTAAACAAATAAACAATTCAGGTGCAAACTACTAAACTGGATGAAGGTGGGAGATATTTCATATTGAAAAAAATGCAATCCACCAAGCTTATATGTAATGTATCTTTCTGTAACAAAGACACTAGTGAAATAAATAAACTCTTTGAATTACAAAAAGTAATTGAAAATATACAATCATGGAGAGAAAAAGACAAAGTAGGAAAACAGAAGATTTGAGTAATATAATTAATAAACTTGATTTAACAGATATATACGGAATTTGTAGTCCCCGACCGTAGAATGATCATTCTTTCAAAAACACAAGGAACATTTGAAAGCTGGCTCTAGATATATATATTTATAAAAGTTGGTTTCAAATAAAATATCATTAAAATTAAAAAAGTCGAAACCAAAATGTTGATCTTTGTATAAACTTTAGATAAACCTGACTAATGACACTCACAGCAGCAATAGAAGGCTTCTTCCCATCACCAGCTGGTGGATGAGTGACATCTGCTCCCAAAAAGATCACTGGTTGCTGGAACACAGAAGGTCTTAAACACATTTTTTAAAAGAGTTAGATAAGTCATTTTTTTCATTATCCATTTTTCTGTTTCATAACACCGTAACACAACTGCAAGTTGCTGACACAGCACAGAGGAGATCCTGTCCTTCACAGGCCTGAACTACTGAGAGCTTTATTCTCTTAATTCACGAAGCCCTAGTCAATGAAGCAAAAGCTGTCACAATGGGTCTCAATGTCTTATTCAGAGCAGTTTTTCGCCTTAAGCAGTGGTGCTGGGGGTGCAAAGGGTATCTGCTGCTAGTGTTCTTCATAATAGGCATAAAATGATAAACTTCCTCACATTAAGCCACTAATTTGTATCGATCTTTGTTTAATCTATTTACATTTTAAGTTTATGTAATCTCTGAAAGAAAAAGAATCACTAAACTTTACACTGGAAAGGATTATGGGAGTGTATTACTCCTCCTCCCCTGGCCAAAAGTACAAATTTGAGTAACATATATTTAATAGCCATAAAGCAGTTAGTAGTTCATTTTATTTTTAAAACTATATCCTTTAAGATTCAAATGACTGTCTCTTAGTTCTTGGACTTGTTGATAAAATTCTATATTCACCTCAGTTATGAATCTTGTCTTATATTTAATAGGGATAGGAAGTAGAGGCAGCACGGAAAAACAGGAAAAAAAAAGAGCTTTTGCGTCAAACACACATGGTTCCATCCTTCTAATGCTTATTTGTGGTGCATACTAGTCAAGATATTAACTTATTAAAGCCCTAGTTGCTTCAACTATTAAAAGGAAAACTGTTATTCACTTCTCCAAATAACAGCCTCTTCCTCAGCAACTGTTTCTAGGTCACTGAGCTCTTGGATATGATGGCAATCTAACAGTAACATCTGTTGTCCCCCTGACTGCAGCAGCGGTTGATATGGCTTGCTTAACTGATTTACTTAATTGAATGTCCCCTCCAAGACCCTCCTTTCTTCCCTCACTTTCTAGGTGGTGAGTAGCTTCATGACACCAGCTTGAAGATGACTATCAAAAAATGAGAAAACTCTTCAAGCTGGGCTCTCCAGTGAGAAATAAATAAAGATGTCAATACTTTCTAGCCAGGCAAGAGGTACTTTGCATACTAAATGAACATGGAGGTGGGAGGGGATTTTTACAAGGGACTCTCTTAATCTGGCCAATCCAAATTCTTTTAATTTGTTGCCAAAATGTCTACTTATTTCCCACGCAGAAATCATCAAAGCTATTTCTTACCATATCTTACATATGGCAATATATAGAAAAATAACGAATATTTTTATCATGCAATTAGCTTATCTTACCTTTGATGAGGTACAAGAATATTATTGATCCCTCCAAGTTTAACATTTATCTTTAGGCACAGGTTTGAGAGAGTTTGAGGGGATGTTTTTATTACATTCTTGACTTGAACACACTGTGTAGCCATACCCAAAAGCGTATCTCCTACACGTTTCACCTCCGCTATGGAACAAATGCAAATACCTCTAGTTAGATAAAAGGTCAAACTTTACTGAAAAATAAGCTACTACTATGTATCCCCCCTTGAAATACATCATTGTATTACAGGATACCAAAAATTACACCAATATTAAAACAATGCTGTTAAAATTTAAAGTATACTGCCTTGAAGATTAGCTTAAGTAATTTTTTTTTTTTTTGTGAGGAGATCAGCCCTGTGCTAACATTCACCAATTCTTTTTTTTTTTTGCTGAGGAAGACTGGCCCTGGGCTAACATCTGTGCCCATCTTCCTCCACTTTATATGGGACGCCGCCACAGCATGGCTTGCCAAGCAGTGTGTTGTGCGCGCCCGGGATCCGAACCGGCAAACCCCGGGCCGCCGCAGTGGAGCGCGCGCACTTAACTGCTTGCGCTACCAGCCCAGCCCAGCCCCTAGCTTAAGCATTTAGTGATAATTTTTCCAATTGTTTTCTTCTTTGTATAAGAAAGCACATCTTGATTATCATAAAAACAGTATAACTACAATAATTGAAAAACCATAAAGAATATCATACATAATACCTTGTTAGCATTTTACTGTACTCTCTTCCAGTAATTTTCTCATTTATATTATTTTAATGCAGTTATAATCACAGTATACTTACAGCTTTCAATCCTATTCTCCAACCTTTAATTTAAAAATACAGAGGTATTACAGTGTAAAGAATAAAAGGCCCTTTTCCGTTCCCCTTCTCTGCCATTGTAACTACCATAAAAACTTCAGTGTACATAACTTATATATAAAACACATGGAAAACATTTTAAAATAAAGATTGAGAATGTACTATACATTCTATTCTGCAACTTGTCATTTTCACTTAATGATATAGTATGTTCTGAATCTCAATATATACATCGCCCTTATAACACCTCAGTTATTCTGTTTTTATATGCCATATGTTATCTAACTAGCCATACACTGATATATTTTTAGCTTGTTCCAGGTTTTCATTATTTCAAACAATCCTATGAATAATATCCTTGTATATTTATTTTTCTTCATTTGTGTAACTATAGCTTCAGGATAAATTTCTATAAATAGAATTCAGGGGTCAGAGGTAAATATATTTAACATTTTTATAGATAGTGACAAATTGCTCTCCAAAAGGTTTATTTATTCATTCTACAAATATATAACGTGCACCTAATACACGCTAATACTGTGTGAAGCTCTGGATATACAATGGTGAGTCAAGAAAGACACTGTTCCTGCCCTTACAGAGCTTATAGTGAAGTCAGAGAAATAGGCATTAAATAACCGCTCAAATTTAACATTACAACTGTGAAAGCAACAGAAAGGAGAGGTATAAGGTGCTATAAGATAATAAAAGTGAGAGAATTTGACCTTGTCAGGGAGGTAAGGAAAGCTTTCCCAACAAAGGGATGTCCGAACTAAAATTCAAAAGAAGAAATTCAAAAGAAGAATGCACATTTACTTGGTGAAGCGTGGAAGGTGGGTCATGAGAAGCAATACAAGTAGAAGGAAGAGGATGAACAAAGAGTTCCTGTGGGAAAAAAGACCATAAAGTGAGATGAATCTCAAAGAGGTAGGAAGTCATGATTTGAACATGCAAACCCTTGGAAGATCATACTGAATATCAATTTTATCAAGTGCATAATGAAAAACTATTGAAGTGGGGGTGATGGGGTAGGGGGTACAGAGGATTTGTATTTTAAAAAGACCACCCTGGATGTTGGTTATAGCTCCAACATGTAGAAGGCTTGGAAGTCATCACTCCCATTCTCACAACAAGAAAAAAGCAGAGTAAACTGAATATCAATAACTTTTCTTAGATCCATTAGAGAGCTGAGGTCACAGAGTGAACTGCCACCCCCAAAACACGTGAATACAAAGAATCACAACCAAGATCAGCTTATTAGAAGCAGAAGCTGATGAAACCAGTAACTGGGAGGAGCAATTAAACAGTAACTACTATAACTCAACAAGAAAAAACCCAAACAATCCAATTAAAAAATGGCCAAAGGACTTGATGAGACATTTCTCTGAAGATATACAAATAGCCAATAAGCACATGAAAGAATGCTCCACATCCTAATCATTAGAGAAATGCAAATCAAAACCACAACGAGACACCACTTTATACCCATTAGGACGGTTATTATCAAAAAAATTGAAAATAACAAGTGTTGGCAAGTATGTGGAGAAACTGGAACCTTCGTGCATTGCTGGTACGAATAGAAAATGCTGCAGCTGCTGTGGAAAACAGTATGGCAACTGCTCAAAAAATTAAATACAGAATTACTATCTGATCCAGCAATTTCACTTCTGGGAATATATCCAAAAGAAGTGAAAGGAAGGACTGAAACAAACAGCTGCATGCCCATATTCAAAGCAGCATTACTCACAATAGCCCAAAGGTGGAAGTAATCTAAGTTTCCATCAATGGATGAACAGATAAACAAAATATGGTATACACATAACGATGAAATATTACTCAGCCTTAAAAGGGAAGAAAATTCTGATACATGTACAACATGGATGAACCTTCAGGAAATTATGTTAAAAGAAATAAGTCATAAAAGGACAAATGTATGATTCATTTATATGAGGTACCTAGAATAGTTAAATTCACAGAGACAAAGCAGAATGGTGGCTGCTGGGGATGAGACAGGAATGGGAAATTACTGTTTAATGGGTACAGAGTTTCAGTTATGGATGATGAAAAGGTTCTGAAAATGGATAGTGGTGATGGTTGCACAACAATGTGAATATATTTAAAACCAATTAATTGTGCACTCAAAAATGGTTAAAACGGTAAATTTTGTTATGTAGATTTTACCACACATACACACAAAAACTTGTTTAAAAAACAGTTAACCCGGGAACACTCCCATGAAAACAGTACATCAGAAGGAATGAAACTATAATCAAAATTTGACACTAAATGACTGACTTAAGGAAGCCATCTGTTGACACCTCTACTAACATGAGACAAATGAAGAGATCCCAGGGTTCAGGCAAAAGAGGGCAACTACAGAAAGAGCTGAAATATAGGTAGCAGCACTCAGGAAACAAAAATTAAGTAAAAAAGAAGTGGCAAATGATGAAAGAGTTTTTCTATGAGAAAAACAAATGGGGTAAAGGCAGTAAAGCAGCTGTTTTTTAAAATAAGAATTCCAGAATGATTTAACACTTGAAACTATATGAATGGATAATTTGATTTATAACTAAACACCAAACAATTAAATGATTAAAAAAAAGTGAAGGAGAAATACTTCTTCTTCTTTTTTTTTTTTTTGTGAGGAGATCAGCCCTGAGCTAACATCCGTGCCCATCCTCCTCCACTTTATATGGGATGCCGCCACAGCATGGCTTGACAAGCAGTGCTTTGGTGTGTGCCCAGGATCCGAACTGGCGAACCCCGGGCCTCCACAGCGGAGTGTGCGCACTTAACCGCTTGCGCCACGGGGCGGCCCCAAGGAGAAATACTTCTTCAGACAAATAAAAACTAAGGGAATCTGTTGACAGTAGACTTGCTTTGGAAGAAATGATAAAAGAAGTTCTTCAGAGAAGGAAAATAATATAGGTCAGAAATTCAGATGTATATAAAGAAAGGAAGGTCAGAGAGGGAATAAATAAAAATAAAATAAAATCTTTTAATTTCTTATTTTTAATTGAACTGATAGATAGCTGTTACAATGTGTTGGGTGGTTATAGCTTATGGATAAGCGAAACGAATGACAGCAATGTTATAAGGGACAGGAGGGAGGAATTGGGAATACTTTGTTATAAGGTCACTATGCTACCTGTAAAGTATGGTACAGAATTCTCTGAAAGTGGACTTAGATTAACTGTAAATGTATATTGCAAACTCTAAAGCAACCACTAAAAAATTTTTAAAACAATTATAATTGATATACTAACAAAGGAGAGAAAATGGAATAATATAAAGTGCCCAATTAAAACCAGAAAAGGCAGAAAAAGAGGGAAAGATAAAAATAAGACCCAACTACATGTTGTCTACAAGAAATCAACGTTAAATATAGAGACACAGATTAAAAACAAAGTGATACAGAAAGATACACCATGCTAACATCAAGGAAAAAAAAAAAACTGGAGTAGCTATATTAATTTCACATAAAGCAAATTTCAGAACTAGGAAAATTATTAGGGATAAAGAAGGGCATTGCATAATGATAAAAGGGTCAATTCTCCAAGGTGACATAACTATCTTGAACATGCATGCATCTAACAAAAGAATGCCAAAATAAGTGAGGCAAAAATTGATAAAACTGCAAGGAGAAACAGACAAATCCACTATTATAGTGGAGACTTCAACACACTTTTATCAGTAATTGACAGATCCAGTAGGCAGAAGATCAGTAAGGATATAGCTGACTTCAACAGCACCATCAATCAACTGAATCTAAGAGACATTTATAGAATACTTCATCCAATAACAGCAGAATACACATTCTTGTCAAGCTCACATGGAACATATACCAAGACAGACCACATTCTGGTCCAAAAACATATCTTAACAAATTTAAAAGAACAGAAATACAAAGTATGGTCTCAGACCACAATGGGATTCAACTAGAAATCAATAACGGAAAGATAGCTGGGAAATCCCAAAATATTTGTATATTAAACAACATAATTCTATGTAACACATGGACCAAAGAAGTCTTGAGAAACTTAAAAATATTTTGAACTAAATGAAAATGAAATACAACTTGTCAAAATTTGTGGGATGCAGTGAAAGCAGTGCTTAGAGGGAAATTTATGGCACTGAATGCATATACTAGAAAAGAAGATCTAAAATCAATAATCTATGTCTCCACCTTAGAAAAATAGAGAATGAAGAACAATATAGACTTAAAACAAGTAGAGGGAAAGAAATATTAATTAGAGTAGAAATCAATGAAATTGAAAATAAGAAATCAATAGAGAAAAATCAACAAAACCAAAAGATGGTTCTTTGAAAAGATCAATGAAAT